ACTGGTGACATTATAATCGAATATTTTCCTACACTATTTGTGATAACAGTATATAATAGTAGTTGATTGTTTGTAATAATAGTATAAATTGAGATTTTAACTTAACTGATGACATTATATATCGAATTTTTTTTTCTGCACTGTTTGTGATAACAGTAAATAATAGCAGGTTTACTGTCTGTGATGACAGTAGATATTTTCAGGTTACTGCTTGTGATAACAGTATATAATAGTAGTTTATTGTTTGTAATAATAGTATAAATTGAGATTTTAACTTAAATGATGACATATATCGAATTTTTTTTCTGCACTGTTTGTGATAACAGTAAATAATAGCAGGTTTACTGTCTTGGATGACAGTAGATATTTTCAGGTTACTGTTTGTGATAACAGTAGAAATCAATGGCTGACTGTTTGTGATAACAGTAGATATCAATGGCTGACTGTGATAACAGTAGATATCAACAGCTAACTGTTTGTGATAACACTAGATATCAATGGCTGTTTGTGATAACAGTATATATCAATGGCTGACTGTTTGTGATAACAGTAGATATCAATGGCTGACTGTTTGTGATAACAGTGATATCAATGAGTTTCCTGGACTGTTTGTGATGACAGTTAATAATAAGAAAATCCTGCACTGTTTGGTAAGTATAACGAATATTTACATATTATTGTTTGTAACAACAGTAGGTACAGAATTTTGCTGTTTGTGATAACAGTAGTTGGTTACGATAAAAGAATATTTTCTAAGAGTATGTAAAATATTTCTTGATTATGTTATTAATCAATATTCTGATTGTGACATACCTATATTCGTTATTGACATCAGACTATTATCATTTTCATCATGTAAGTATATATCCTTTACTGCTCCATCAAGTTATGACATCGGATAATTATGAATTACATCCTCTTTTTTAATCTGATTGTGATATCAGTTTATTTGAATTACGAGATCGGATATACAGGGTGTCTGTAAAAGGTCTTTACAAAAACATATCACATATTCCTTAGACCAAAATAAGTCGATTTAAGTAAAATTACCTTAGTACAAAGTTGCTTCGTTTGGGCTCCAGAGGGCCTTGAAGTTAAAATTTTTAAATGGTTTTTCTCATATAAATATAAAACGGCATATGAGATTTTGCTGAAATTTGGAATATTGGTAGAGTTTTATGTGGCAAAAAAAATGGTATTAAAATGTTCTCCGATAATAATACATAGGCGTTAGAACTTGATTTTTTAAATAATTGCACCTTTAAAAATTCTACGCCAATGGAAGAAAAGGAGTTTTAGTATGAAATTTAGATTGCGCAACTCATTTACTTTAAAAAAGGTACTCTTGATAAGACTCGATTACTCTCATGGTTTTCGCTAAATTTCTGTTTTAATAATTTAGAGTGTATAGGTTTAAAAAAATTTTTATTTACAACATAATCAAAATAAAGATTTTACAAAAATTGTTCAAAATGTTCATCATTTTCACACATACAAAGATTTATACGTCGAAGAAAATTAAAATGTATCCTTTCCATAACTTCTTCATCACCTCTAAGATTGTTTATTGCATCTTGAATACGTTGCCAGAGTTGTTCCTCATTTTCTGCAGGTTCCCTGTAAACTGTGGATTTCAGATGTCACCATAAAAAGTGATCTATCGGTGTTAGGTCTGGGGAACGTGGTGGCCAGTTAACAGGTGCGTCATTACCTCTGCCTATCCATTTGTGTGGATATTGTTCATTCAAGTTTTTTCTAACGTTTAAAGAAAAATGTGGTGGAGCTCCATCTTGCATAAACCACATTTATCTCCGAAGTTGGAGGGGTAAATCTTCTAACAATTCTGGCAACGTATTTTGTAGAAAATCCAAATAATTTTCTCCAGTTAATCTTCGTTGAAGTATGACAGGACCAACAATTAAATTACCAATTATTCCAGCCCACACATTAATTTTGAATTCGTTCTGAAAATGGTTTACCTTTATTGCATGCGGATTTTCAACGGCATAAACATGTTCATTATGGGTATTAGTTATACCTCTTCTTGTAAAACCCGCTTTATCGGTAAAGAGAACCTTCTTGACAAAGTTTGGATCTCTTTCTCTTTGCATATTAACAAATCGACAAAAACCCAAACGAATTTGAAGATCATGGACTAATAATTCTTGTACTGGCTTCTTATGGTATGGATATAGCAATTGTTCTCTAAGCACTTTATGAACGACATCTTTACTTACTCCTAGTTCCCTTCCAATTCGTCTGGTGCTTAATTCTGGATCTTCTTCAACACGTTCTAAAATGTCTTCTTCAACTTCAGGAATCCTTACAAAACGTTCTCTTCCATTATCAACAGTGTTGGGAGCAAAGGAACTGGTCTCCCGAAGACGTCTCTCAACAGCAGCAAAAGTTGGGTGGCTAGGTACACGACGATTTGGAAACCTTTCAGAGTACACCCTGACACTCTCTCGAGCATTTCTTTCACAAAATCCTAATGTCAGTAACATATCGGTATATTCTGCATTGGTATATTGTACAGCCATACTAATAAACCACGCATTTGTTTTTTTAATTATTGAGTCAGATAGAACACTTTCAATCGTTAACAAGAGATTTGGTGTTAAAACTTGACAATATTTTTATTTAGATGAAGCTATGGAACCCAACAATAAATGTTTTTGTATACGTATTGCAGGCAAATAATTAATATTCCTCAAAAAATCGTACATGGCAAGAATCGAGTATTTTTGTTAAAAGTCTCGATTAGAGGTGTTGAAGAAGATATGAAAAAAGTACATTTTTATGTTTTTCATCGTATAAAATTTTGTCCGATAATAATACATAGGCGTAGAACTTGATTTTTTAAATAATTGCACCTTTAAAAATTCTACGCCATTGGCAAAAAGGGGTTTGGGTATAAAATTTGGATTGGGTACTCATTTACTACAAAAAAGTACCCTTGATAACACTAGATTTACTCTCATGGTTTTGACAAAGTTTGTATTTTAATAATTATTGTTTATGTTCTAAAATTACTAAAATGCAAATTTCGTCAAAACCATGAGAGTAATCGAGTCTTATCAAGAGTACCTTTTTTAAAGTAAATAAGTTGCGCAATTTAAATTTCATACTCAAACTCCTTTTCTTCCACTGGCGTAGAATTTTTAAAGGTGCAATTATTTAAAAAAACAAGTTCTACGCCTATGTATTATTATCGGACAAAATTTTAATACCATTTTTTTTGCCACATAAAACTCTACCAATATACCAAATTTCAGCAAAATCGCATATGCCGTTTTATTAAATTTATATGAGAAAAACGATTTAAAAATTGTAACTTCAAGGCCCTCTGGAGCCCAAACGAAGCAACTTTGTACTAAGGTAATTTTACTTAAATCGACTTATTTTGGTCTAAGGAATATGTGGTATGTTTTTGTAAAGACCTTTTACAGACACCCTGTATTTTTACAATCCAAATTATCCTGGACTGCGCCATTGAATCAGATTGAATAGGATCGGATAATCAAGAGTTATATCCTAATTTTTAGACTGATTTTGACATCACACATTCATTATGTAGGTATATTAGGCTACATTCCGGTTACAAAATCGGATATAATTTATACGTAGTAATAAAATTAAAATAAGTATACATTTTTGACTGCATTATAAAGTTATGGTCCGATCCTAAGATCGGATAATCACGAGTTACATCCTCATTTTAATTTGATTGTGAAATCAGATATTCAATATTTATTTTGAGCTATTTTCCGACTACGATATCGGATATAATTTATGTATAAAAAAGCAAGTACCTATACAACCTATAATTCGTCATCAAGTTACAGTCCGATAATGACATTTAATAATCATGAGTTACATCCTAATATCAATCTGATTGTGACATCAGATAAGTTGTTTTTACTGATTTGTTCGAAAAGTTCAATAGAATATATCATTCTTTGCTCTTAAATAAAAAAAAAATAGATTTGTATAATCGGTATCTTGATTTCATCTAGTCGTATATGTATATAAGTGAACGCCGTCTAAAGTTTTTTCGAGATTTCTAGTACTACTATAGTGTACTGATGTAATTTTTTTGTTTCAAATCAGTTAGTTATATTCTGTATACAACTATTTAAAAGTATTTCCCCCCTCTTGGATACTAATTTAACCATCTTCAGATTGATCTTGAGAATCTTGTCAATTGGTTAAGTTGGTTAATATACCAGACCAAATATTCATGCTAGTGGTGGGTCTTAAAAAGACTTTTTAGTTGTCTAGTAAAAAGTATTCTGTAATATTATTCTGTTGTATTTGTTTACTACAAGAATGTTACTAAATTATATAGTTAGAAATGGTTCAGAATAAAGATATCTTTCAATAAATCTTCGACTAAAATACAGTCTATGCTCGACACAATATTAAAAAGTTAGGCATATTTATTGAGCGTTTTATGTAATCCAAAAGGCCAGAAAAACTTTCGACCTAAAAAAACATTTCTGTTATTTAAGTAACCCTTTTTCTGTATTGCGAGTCCTTCCAAGTAACTTAATCAAATATCACCTCAAAAACAACTTTTTTTTTTTATTCATTTGTATTCATCCTCGACTGTTCATATATTACCCACGTTCAGAGTTCAGTCCTTTTTCAATAGATAAGGATTTTATTGGATTTCGACCGGTGGTTCAAATGTGATTACTAAAGACTTTTTTTTATAATTTAATTCTTTTTTTCACTATATTTTTTGAAAGTGTCCTATGATCCAAACGGTCACTGCAAATACCCTTTTTGCATTTATTAAATTAGATTATTCATTTCAGGGATTAAAGTATCACACACTGTATTCATTGAAAAATTATTTAACGCCATAATATTCAAAATAAAAACTATTATTAGACGCACTTTTACATAATAATTCAATTATCCTCGATAGACACTTGCTTGACAAAAATTGGCTTATAGTTTATATGGGCAGTATTATTTTTAATGTATGAACTTACTGTGTCTCTTCGGCGATTATCCCTCAAACTTAACCGCTGCTTCCAGTCCCTCTTGTGTGCGGAATCCGAACTAAAGGACCTCAGCATCGGCGTTGATTGCATCCCTCTGAAACTAAACAAAAAAAGGTCTATATTGAAATAATTCATTTTCAATAGTAGCAAAATTAGACCAGTTTCTAGCACAATATCCTAGAAATTTATATGCTGTAGCGGTGGCAACCAGAGATAACCAGGAGATGTAACTATTAACAAATATGGTGCGGCCGTGAATAAGACATATTCTAAGTGACACAGTAGGGTATAATCACAATATATTGTGGGTATAATATCCGCTGTTGTCATTGTTAGTAAAGTGTATGTATTAAAATATTCGCTCAAGAAAACGATTCACCTCCCACTCTTTTGTCACATAGCTGAATTTTTCACAGATGAAAGGTCATGATAAGGTAACCCTTTTTCCGGAGTTAATACAAAATTAGACTGTGCAGAAGGGCACTATCATCAAAAATCCAGATATTGATACCACCGAATAGAGAAAAAAATACTAATTGTTTGGTCAAATGCACAATAAAATCTTTGTAGGGAGTAATTATTTATACTTATTTAAAAAAAATCATTTGCATTAGCACTTACGGTCGAAAAAAAATATAAACGTAAATATCTTGGTTTTAGCCCTTCAAAAATTTAGTTAAAAAGTCGTCTTTTTTAAATATACCACTCATTTAACAAAAAACGAAGGCCTAAATGAAAAAAAAACATTCTTTATAAAATTTTTGCTTATGTGTTGAGAAGGTAACAGAGTAAACACTATATTTTTTGCTTTTGAATTAACAAAGATATAACAATAAACGATGAGAGATGTCATAGGTTTATGCTGTAATTAATTCTCACCGTCAAATTTATCGACTCTCAGTGTATCTTTCTCTTCACCTTCAAACGTAGCATAGCTCTGTTTCTCTCTACGTGCGGGCTGATGTATCACATTATTGATATGGTAGGATTTTATGCCAAGGTTTTTAAATGTGCCTCACCGTTGTAGAATATGATTATTAATCAAACACATAGAGCTATGTAACAATATTTAATGATTGCTGCAATCTGTAACTGTGCACTGGACTAGGGCCGGTTTCTCCATTGGTTCATTTGTGCAGTGAACACCCAGTTAAATTTCATAAAAACACATTATTTTAATATTACATAAATAACATAAAAATTTAAATTATCCATTGTCCTCTGGCTGATCGCGTCTCTACTGTGTCTGTGATGCATTATAATAAGTGAGACGATATGCCAAATGCATATAGCTAAAAAGAGAAGACAACACGCCAACAGATCCTTCAAACTGTCAAAGAACACATTAATTGGCGCGCCGCTCACAAACAAGGTTGCCAAACCAGTGTTGCCAATTCACACGTTTGTTTGATCTGTCTACAGGCACAGCATAATTTTGTAAATAACCATAGGAATAGAATAAGGATTATATTTTAATATCTTATCATTCCATTTCTTTTATTTTGCATAATAATTATTTTTCTTCAATTATATAAATATGAAACACGAGAAACTGGATGAACACTAGTTCTCTGATTTTAAACCCGTTGATGTAGAGCACCAAGTAGTTAGCTCAGGTCTCTCAGACCACGAAGCAGTATTTGCCAAATTTTTGATACCCCGTACAGCTCCAAAAAAAGTCCGTCAGCTAGGTAGAATTTTCTCTAAGCATAATTTCAAAAATTTCTATAATTTATGTCTAACTACTGATTGGAATGGTCTTTCTGAAGATATTGACTCTAAATTTTTAGACTTCTTAAATAAAATAATTATGTGTTTCAATACAGCTTTCCCCCTTCGCCCCATTAAAACTAAATGTCATAAATCTTGGACAACTATAGGAATAAGAACATCATCTAAAAATATGAGGTCACTCATGTATATTAAAAAGTACACAGATAATCCCCTAATATTAAACTATATCAACAACTACAGAATATTGTATCGGAAAATCATCAAATCTGCTAAGAAAAACTATTACAAAAATCGCATCGCAAGAGCTAAAAACTCCTCCAAAGAAACCTGGTCTATAATAAATGACTTAAGGAATAAAACCCGTTCTTCAAACAGTGTAAATCCTAGCCCAGATGAACTAAACAATTATTTCGTAAATGTAAGTAAAAATATCAAATCTAACATAGCTCCGAGTCAGGATGCTCTCTCCTTCCTCCTACCTACTAAAAGGATCACTGAAAGTTTCTTCCTAAGACCATTAGACAAGCATGAACTAGTGCAAACCATAAACAACATCCAAAATAAATTTTCCTGTGGAATTGATGGCCTGTCCACCAAAATATTTCTAAATATACCGGATGTAGTAATCAACATTTTAACTTCACTGATTAATGAATCCTTTGAAATTGGTCTCTTTCCTAACTGTCTAAAAACAGCTATAATAATCCCACTTCATAAAGGTGGCGACAAAACCAAAACCTGTAACTATAGACCTATCGCGTTATTGCCTACCTTATCGAAGATAGTAGAACGGCTAATGAAAAACCGTCTTTTGCCCTTTCTTTTCAAGCATAACATCCTCACAGCTCATCAGTATGGCTTTCTACCTAAAAAATGCACTAGCGACGCAATGTTTTCCGTTCTTAATGAAATATACACATCACTTAATGATAAACTTTTCACCGCTTCAGTATTTTGTGACTTCGCAAAGGCCTTCGATTGTGTAAATCATGATATTTTAATTAATAAGTTACAAATTTATGGCATACGGGGTTCTCCTTTACAATGGTTTAAAACTTACCTAGAAAATAGAAATCAACAGGTGCGGGCGAATGGTGAGGATTCTACAAATCTAGCAATAAGCAGTGGAGTACCTCAAGGATCAGTATTAGGTCCAATTTTGTTTTTATTATTCATCAACGACATCACAGACTTAAGAATAAGTGGTAGAATTACTTTATTTGCTGATGACACCAGTGTAACCTGGAATAATTCTAACATGCAGACATTACAATCTATCATAAGTGAAGATCTAGTGACTATTAAGTCCTGGTCTGATTCGAATGGACTTTGTTTCAACACCAGTAAAACTGTAGCATTGTCTTACAGAGGTACTTTACAACCTATAACATTAAACAATAATCTGATCCAAACGGTGACTTCAATCAAGTTTTTAGGTCTTTATATAGACGATTCTCTAAAATGGTCTGCTCATATAGATACCTTAGCAAAAAAATTATCCTCCGCATGTTTTGCCATTAAATCGGTTTCTAAAGAGCTGACTCCTTCTACTGCATTAATAACCTACTTTTCCTTATTCGAATCTCACCTTCGCTATGGTTTACCTTTCTGGGGGTTCTTGTAGCTTATACCTTTTCGAATCTATTTTTAAACTGCAAAAAAGAGCAATCCGCTATGTATTTGGTTTAAGTAGTAGGACATTTTGCGAAAATTACTTCAAAAATTTCAAAATTCTAACCCTTCCTGCTCTATTTATTTTCGAATCCGTCTGCTTAGTTCGCAAGCACATTCAAAATTTATCCGAAAGACCGACTCGTAGATATCCTACAAGAAATTTAGAGACTGATGTTTATTTAACAATGCCCACTTCTGACCTATTAAAACATTCCATTACCTACAATGCCAAAAAATTGTATAATAACCTTCCGATGCAATTAAAATCTATAAATACATACGATAAGTTCCGAAGACTGGCTAAAGCTTTTCTTCTAGAAAGACCATATTACACAGTAGCAGAATTTTATAACGCACCTTAGACATTTGAGTTCCACATACAATGGCATTAATTAAATAATTAAATATTAAAGTTTAAATTTAAATTTAAATTTAAATTTAAATTTAAATTTAAATTTAAATTTAAATTTAAATTTAAATTTAAATTTAAATTTAAACTTAAATTTAAATTTAAAAATTAAATTAGAATAATTATAATGACGGATATTGCATATCCATTGCAATTGTTATTCCTATTTTGTCTGTTTGTTTCTGTTTGTTTTTTCTGCTGTTTAGTTATTTTTATAATATGTTTAGTATTTAAGTTACACGCTTTGTCTATAAAATTTTTGTAAATTTTTTTACGACAATAAAGCATATCTCTCTCTCTATACATGAACACAATATGCTGTTACATACAAAAACATGAGGTACTAAAAAAACCTCTGGGTCATCAACATAAAACCAGAACTTTTAGTAACTTGAATATTAAAATATCTATGCCTAAAAGTGAATCTTTCAAAAATTGTATAAATTACTTAGGACCAAAGTGTTACAATGCTTTACCTTCTGAGACCAAATTAATTAACGAACAACATTTATTTAAGAAAGCGTGCAAATCCTTCATCTACCAAAACTACTCAAAATGATATAGATTCTTCTTAGAATTACACACATCTCACTGTAATATGTTGGAACCCTGTAGATTACAAAATTATAACATTATTACATATTATATAATATAACATTGCTGCCTTATTACCACAGCTTATACAATACAGCTCCACAACTCCGTGTCGGCGTCTTTGATCTGGCGGTCGAGAACCAAGCAAGATGAAATGGTGCTATCTCTGTTAGATTCGAGGGAAAAGTCGGGCCCGGATTAAACAATTTTTTTATTATTGAAAAAATTGAAAACCTTGGCGTAATAAGATTGGTTACATGCCATATTTAGTAAGTTTTGGGAAATTAAATTTTTAATTTGTTTTAAATCTGTCAAATATAATTAGAAACATTATTTAAATATAAATATTACGAAAAATAGCACATCTTTCGGATTAGAGGTAAAATAATTTGTATGTGGCTAGTAAAATCCTCGTTAACAAATGTTTTGAGCTAAAACAGTCACTTCACGACAAATTGTGGCTTGGATCCTTTTTACACCAAGGGCTTCAATTGTTAAAGAATTGTGTCACGCTCGTGGATGCAAATCAAGTGGTACCCCGTGTCTCTGGCAAGTGTTACTCTTCGCGCAAAGGGTTTATACCTAAATAAACGAATGCTTCGACTGAGGTCTGGGAACTCTATGGTATTTTGGAATTATAAAGAATTTGTGCTTTTATTTTAACAATATTGGTTATATT